ATCTAAGGAAGGATACACTTGCCTGTGAGGAGCATCGGTTCACCAAACTGGTTTCCTGGTTGGGAGGATTATCCTATGAGGATATATTGATTTGACAATGACTAATGATGATGTAATTGAAACATATAAAATCGTAATGTTGACATGTTGATGCTTGAAGAATACTTCCTTTGGCTGGAGAATCTAGAACCTGAGGCCACAAACTCAGAAAATTGATAAGATACTGTATGGTAAATTAAACAAGGGTTTCCTTTCTTACAAGTAGGGTAAGAAAGCATCCAAAGATGTGAGAAAGTCAGTGTCAAAAAAAAATGCTCAAACTCTCATCCATTCATTACCTGTCAATCATAAATCAATACTTCAAAAAGTAACTGTTTCTTTTCAGAACAGCTCCCTATTTAAAAGGTCACATTTATATAGTGGTTTTTGTTACAACCAGACACCGCGACGACTTCACAGCCATTGAAGTACTTTGGATTTTGGCACTGTAACACTGAATAATAATATTTTTCCAAGTCACAATGGTGAATGGCATGGAGGAGGTTTGTTTCCATCTATTGACTACCTTTGTCCTTTTAGATGATGGTGGCTGTGAGTTTGGAAGGTGTTGTCCAACAGACTTGGTGAATTTCTGTAATGCATCTTGTGGATGGTACACACTGTTGCTCCTGTCCATTGGTGGTGGAAGGAGTGAATAATTGTGGATGTCAGGTTAAGGCTGCTTTGTCCTGGAGGATATTAAGCTTCTTGGGTGTTGCTGGAGCTGCACTCATCTAAACAGGTGAGATATTTCATCACAGCCCTGACTTATGCCTTTGACCTGATCCATGGGTTTTGGGGAGTCAGGAGGTGAGTTGCTCATTGCACGATTCCTAGCCTCTGAAGTTAAACTGACACCACACAAATTGTATGGTTCAAGAAAGTGGCTCACTGACACCTTTCGAAGGGCACTTCAGGATGGGTAATAAATTCTGACTTTGTGTACATTGGCACATCCCATTAAGAAATTAAAATTTCTTAGGCCTGTAGTGTCATTATAACCAGGTCAAGTCAAGCTGATGTGCGTGTGGGATGCAGTATTAGGACAAGAACGTTACTGATTCAGACTCCCTGGATCTAGGGAAACCCTGACTGAAATGCGGTAGGCTCCACAATTGAACAAGGTGCAGCACAGCAGAGATGTTCAGAACAGTTGCAGTGCCAAAAATTATCAGAGCACTTTGCACTCAAGAATAAGGCTCAAGCTCCCCGCACCTACCTAACTAAAACAAGAAGTCACTTCAACTTTAGAACAGATAACGACACCAAAATACTATTACTTAATGGGAAGAAACTATCGGGTACAACTGTATGAGTATTGACAAGATGATTTATTGAGATGGAGGACAGTTAGAATGTCAGTTATGCGCCACAGCCAAAAAAGGCAGGATAGTTGGAATCTGGAGAGGATTGAATGAGATACCCTTCACGGAGGCTGTCTCACATCATGTTTGACGCAGCATGAAGTATAATTGTATCGCAGTGTCAAACCTGGTGTAAATCTGTTAGATTTTGCAGGCTTTTTACATGCTTACGCAGATGTGATTAAAATGTTTTGAAAAACCTGGCTCTCCCACGCATGCTATTAAATTATTCCAAGTTTACCAGCCAAGAATAGAATTTCAAGCCTGCATATGTCCAAAACTTACTTTGCCAGGAAAATCAGCTATTGAGTTCGAGTAATGTAGTGCCAACTGCAAATCCATCCTGTAGTTAATAATCTGATCAATAGCCAGAGCGTAACAGCAGCATAAAGGTATTATATTTAGTTTTAAACTCAGTATTTTATTTTAAGACAGGTGCTAGAAACTATAAACCTCCAAACTTCTGTGGCACCCTCCAGTTAACATAAATTATCTTCATTTTCCCATCCACAATGATTAGCATAACTAATTCACCAAAATTTAGCAAGTAAGGTATAATTCAATAATCATCTTACTAAATGCAAAAGAAACAATGTTTCTGGTTACGTTACAAGTTTCTCACTGTGATAATCAAACTTCGGTTCTTTAACAAACCAGTCTATTCTATATATGAAAAACAAAATATAAAACACGTCTACTGAAATCTTGAGGAGTTGATATTTGGTCAGCGTTAAAAAAAAATTGCATTTTCAACACGTAAAACAATTGGTCTGAAACACTCAGCAAGCTTTCAACCACTGGCGTATTACGTTTTCATTACACGTACTGTAAGCATGATGATTTGTTTTACTTACTGATCTCCATTGTCTGTTGATTCCCTTTGAGCTTATTTTCATTCCCTTTTACTTTACCCTTTTTATTTTATCCTTTTTAAAAGGTTGCATTTCAGTGATCATGTACATTACTCTTGAGTTTCTGTCCTCTATGTAACCAATAAAGTACCATTCATGATATTTAATGAACCATGATTTCAAGGAGTTTATTTTTCAATTAATCTGAATGGATTTTTGTTCTTTCTTCATTTGATTTATTCACTTTTACATGAATCTATATATTTCCTATTGTTTTATTTTGAATTATAAATATTAACAGATGAAAGTAAAATGCACAGTACAGACCAGAGAATATACATTTTAAAGTCTGAAATGTTACTGAATGAAATGATTTAGTATCTAATTTGGAACTGTGAGTAAAACTTCAATTGCAGTTTAATCATACAACTTTGAAACAAAACAATATCACCATTAAAAAGCTCAAAGGCATTCATGTCAACTTTTTTCCTTTGGAAAAGAGCTGCAGTACTACTTATTAAACTGTGTTTCTAAGATGTGAGCATTTATAATCACCCTTGAGAAGATGGTGGAGAGCCAACATCTTAAATCACTGCAGTCCATGAAGTGTAGGTGTAACCACAAGTCACATGACACCAGGTTATAGTCCAGTAGGTTTATTCGGAATCTTACAAGCTTTCGGAGCACAGCCCCTTTGTCAGGTGCAGTGAGAGTGCAGGGCACACAGACACAGAGTTTATAGGCAGAGACATGAAAAGATCACACAACTGGTGTGAGTGGAGTGTCAGATGATGTCTCTGCGGGTGACCAAGAGTGTTAGATGGTGTGTAAAGTGTTTGTAAAGTCAATGTCAATGCTGTGCTGTCATTACAATCAGGCAGAGCCATCTGAATATTGAAAAGGTGACATCTCCAGTCAGACTAGGTGTGAGGCTTTGTTCAGAATCGGTCTGAGTTTTAACCTGGAATCAGGCTGGTTTTATTCTGAAAGCTAGAATTTATAAGATGCCACACTGACTGTGACTACAAATTTGTGTGTTTTTTGAACAAAATAGAATGTATCTGCAAATAAACAAACATTTTGGGTGAAATGATTCAACCCATGGATTTATACATGTGTGTCCTGCCCTCATAAAAACAGGATATGATGCTCAACTCATCGATATCAAGTTCCGACATGCCACAGCGAAAAACCGCAATGACTTCCTCAAAAGACAGACGCAGGATAAGACCAAGAGAATACCCTTTGTTATCCAGTCCTTCCCCGGAGCAGGGAAACTACACCATGTTCTTTGCAGTCGTCAACATGTCATCAATGACGATGAGTATCTCACCAAGATCCACCCTACACCTCCACTTCTCGCCTTCAAACAACCACCAAACCTTAAACAGACCATTGTTCGCAGCAAATTACCCAGCCTTCAGGACAACATCGAGCACAACACCATACAACTCTGCCATGGCAACCTCTGCAAGACTTGTCAGATCATCAACTTGGATACTACCATCATACGTGGGAACACCACCCACTACGTTCATGGCAGATACTCCTGTGACTTAGCCAATGTTGTCTATCTCATATGCTGCAGGCAAGGATGCTCTAAGACATGGTATATTGGCGAGACAGTGCAGATGCTACGACAATGGATGAATGGACACCATGCAACAGTCACCAGACTGGAATGTTCCTTCCCAGTCAGGGAACACTTCAGCCTCCGATCTTCAGGTAAGTATCCTCCAAGGCGGACCCCGAGATGCATATCAACGTAGAATGGCCGAGCACATACTGATAGCCAAGTTTAGTACCCATGAAGACGGCCTCAACCGTGATCTTGGGTTCATGTCATGCTACAGGTGACCCCACTATACTTCCGTATCTGTAAAATCTTCCTTACTTTCCTGTTTTGACAGCATCACCTTGATAAATTGTTATGATCCCTCTACCTTAATTAGTTTGTAATTCTGAATTACTTATTGCACTCTCTCACATACATACACACAAAGACCCTCTCTCTCGCACACGCGCACACACCCACAAATCTTTGGGTGAATCATTTCATCCATGATGTTTGTCTGTTTGCAATTACATTCTATTTTGTTTAAAAAAACAAATTTATAGTCGCAGTCAGTTAGTAGGGTATCTTATAAATTCCACCTTTCGGAATACAACCAGCCAGCTAAAACTGTGAGACAGATTCTGGACAAAGCCTCATACCTACAATTCGGTGTCTGACCTGAGATGTCACCTTTTGTATATTTCTATGGCTCTGCCTGATTGTCATGACAGCACAGCACTGACATTGACTTTACAAACACTTTATGCACCATCTAACACGCTTGCCCACCTGCAGAGACTTATCATTGGACACTCTGCTCACACCAATTGTATGATCTTTTGATCTCTCTGCCATATAAACTCTGTGTGTGTGCCCTGCTCACTCACTGCACCTGACGAAGGGGCTGCGCTCTGAAAGCTTGTGTGATTCCAAATAAACCTGGTGTCGTGTGACTTCTGACTTTATTCAACCTATCTAACCCTGGCACCTCCACATCACAAGTGTAACCACAGTGCTGTTAGGGAGAGAGTTCTAGAAAGTTAACTATTTGTAAAACATACCCATGAGCAACAAAAAAAATCAACAAAGAAAATAGTGAGGGAAAAGAAGGGGGAATATTTGTGAAATGACAAGTCTTTCATGAATTGTTTTAAAAAGGATTTTATGATTGGAGATACATCTTGCAACCTTTTCCCATAATTTTGCTTTTAATTTCAGAGAGGAGTCAACTTTTCCTTGAAGATTTGACAACTCCTCATCCCAAACATTGATCCATTCTCTGTAAAAGAATAAAAACAGTAACCGTTGAAATTTAAGTTCTGAAATCTTGTCTTTTAGACTTGCTTTTTTCAAATGCCAGAAATGCAAATAAGCAGCTGACTAATTCATATTTGTTTTATTCATTGTTACCTGGTTCACTATTGATGGATAAAGAATCAGCAATACTGTTTTCAAAGGAAATGCAAAATAGTGCATATACTGAAAATCTGAAATATTAACAAAAATTGCAGGTTACATAAACAGATCAGGTAACATGAGTGGGGAGAGAAACAATCTTTCAGCTAAATGAACTTTCATCAAAATGGCCACAAAGTATGTGGACCTGAACCACATTTCTCTGTTGACCAATGCTGCCTAATCTCCTGAGTATTTCCAGTATTATCTATGTTTTATTATTTTCAAGTGCTTGCGTAGTCAGTAGTAACTTTTCAAATCAGGCTTTGTTCTTACCTAAAACTGTCTGGATTATGTAAATTAATCATTAACAATGACCACTACCTCTTGCAATTTAGGATGGTCTCACATACCCTTGAACACAGTGAATACTGAAATATTGTGGGAGAGGTCAAGCCTCCATGATGGGAAGACAATAAATGTCCATAGAAGAGAGGATAGGGAAAAGAAGATTATCCACAACTAGCAATGTGCATAACAGACTACAGGGTGCTTATCTCTCTGATATGTCCAGATATGGAGTAAAAGTCTACATTAGCAATTTGCGGAGTAAACTTTATTTTACTGCGATGAGAGGTGTAATTTATCCTCAAACATATTTCCCTTTAAGTTTAGAGCTGATTTCGACAGTGTCTGTAGACACATCCGCTGTACACACTTAAGGAGCCATCATAGAATCTCTGCAGTTTGGAAGCAGGCTATTTGGCCCATCAAGTCCACAATGACCCTCCGAAGAGCATCTCATGCCATCTCCATGACCCTGCATTTCCCATGGCTAATCCACCAAGCCTGTACATCCCTGAACAGTATGGGCAATTTTAGCATAGCCAATCCATGTAACCTGCACGTCTATGGGCTGTGGGAGTAAACCAAAGCATCGAGAAGAAACCCATGCAGACATGGGGAGAATGTGCAAACTCTACACAGTCACCCAGAATGGAATCAAACCTGGGTCCCTGGCGCTGTGAGGTGGTTGTGCTAGCTACTGAGCCACCGTGCCACCCTGTTTCAAACTGGTAGATATTGTAGTCACTGTGTGTCGTTGGTGGAGATACTATATATATTTAAGTTGATGTGTGGAGTACTAGTCTATGTTTTGGATGGTGTCAAGCTTCTTGAGTGTTGTGCACTACACTGATTAATAGAAGTAGAGTGTATTCCAACATACCCCCGAAGTGTCTTGTAGATTGTGGACAGGACTTCAAGCAGCCAGGAAGCGAATTAACCACCTCAAAATTCCCAGCCTCTGACCTGCTCTTGTTTGCAGTGTTTATATGATTGGTTCAGTTTCAGTATCTGGTCAGTGGTAAATCCCAGGATGTTGATAGTGGGAAACTTAGTGATGACATTCATTTGAATGTGTGATAAAGGTGTGATTTATATATATTTGCGTTTTTTTTCACACAGTTGCATTTCAAAACTAGTGGCAAATGTGTTGGTCCCTTTATGTTATACATCTGCCAGAGGTGCAGTGCACAGTTAATGCAAAAGTACTTTTTGTTTTATGACTTTTTCATAGAATCCCTAGTGTGGAAACAGGCCCTTTGGCTGAACAAACCCATACCGACTGTTACAGCATCCCACCCAGACCCATTCCCCAAACGTACCTAATCTACACATCCCTGCACACTATAGGCAATTTAGCATGGCCAATCCACCTAATCTACATATCTTTGGACTGGGGGAGGAAACCGGAGCACCCGGAGGAAACCCGCACAGACCGCTGGCTGAGGGGGAATCAAACACGGGCTCCTGGCGCTGTGAAGCAGCAGTGCTGACCACTGTTCCACCCATTTAGAAAAACACAGAAAACAAGTAATGTTTGGCATCAGCGATAGTAGGAACTGCAGATGCTGGAGAATCTGAGATAACAAGGTGTAGAGCTGGATGAACACAGCAGGCCAAGCAGCATCATAGGAGCAGGAAGGCTTTTAACTGCAGATGCTGGAGAATCTGAGGTGTAGAGCTGGATGAACACAGCAGGCCAAGCAGCATCATAGGAGCAGGAAGGCTTTTCTGATTTTAGTTTCTTCTTGCAGTAAAAGTTTTAAAGTGCAAAATCTTACCACTCAATTTACTTCCAGTAGTTACTGGAAAATTCATGTTTAGCCTTTACTGGTCTTAATGAGAACTGCAAAAAATTGAGGCTGTTGGAGGTCAAAATTCAGAGGCTGTAAAACTGGGATTTCCCTGAGTTAAAATAAATACGAGATTTTTGCTGCTTTTGGTAAAACATTAACATGACTACTTCAACAGTTCAGAGCATCAGGCAAGAGAAGATGTCTACTACAGCCTAGTTAACAAAGGTTAAGTAGACAGCAGTGGCTGAGAAATTAAGAGGTAATTTGAAGTAGGGTTTAAAAAGGCACTTATTATTGAAAGAAATCAAAGAACTATGGATACTGGAGATCTGAAACACACACAAGCAGAAATTTCTGGGGAAACTCAACTGGTCTGACAGCATCCATGAAAAGAAAACAGCTAACGTTTCAAGTCCAATGACCCTTCTTCAGAACAGGCGATTAGTGAAATATTGTTTTTCAGCATTTAAACCTTGAGGAGAAAATGGATCAAATGGAATAAAGGCACAAGTTTGGCTACATAGACTTCAATAAGAATCAACTTGAAGTTAGAAAAGCAAAAGTTTGAATTACAGGAAGAAATTGAAAAAGAAACTTGAATTGGAAAGATAATTTGCATTTTGACAGTGTTACAAAAACAATTATGACTACATTGATACTTAATCATCTTGTAAAGTCCCACATTTGTATCACCTCACCCCAATAATATCGTGTCTTAAAACTTGAATCCACTGGATTGGGTGATTGGGTCTCCAGCTCAGAAATAGGCCTGTGGTATGATTGTCATAGAGAAAGAAATCTAAACTGAAACCTATTGAAAAATATCAAGCAACAGTTTTCACATCTTAACATTGTAAAAGGCAGCTGCTGTTGAGAGACTTGGGCAGAGATTGCCAAGACAGATACTGATGTGCAGAGATAGTAGGAACTGCAGATGCTGGAGAATCCGAGACAACAAGGTGCAGGGCTGGATGAACACAGCAGGCCAAGCAGCATCATAGGAGCAGAGAGGCTGACGTTTCAGGCCTAGACCCTTCATCAGAAAAGGGGGAGGGGAAGGGGGTTTTGAAATAAATAGGGAGAGAGTGGGAGGCGGATAGAAGAGGGATAGAGGAGAGGATAGGTGGAGAGGAAACAAGCAGGTCGAAGAGGCGGGGATGGAGCCAGTAAAGGTGAGTGTAGGTAGGGAGTTAGGAAGGGGATAGGTCAGTCCAGGGAGGACGGACAGGTCAAGGGGGCGGGATGAGGTTGGTCGGTAGGAGATGGAGGTGCGGCTTGAGGTGGGAGGAGGGGATAGGTGGGAGGAAGAACAGGTTAGGGAGGCAGGGACGAGCTGGACTGGTTTTGGGATGCGGTAGGGGGAGGGGAGATTTTGAAACTTGTGAAATCCACATTGATACCATTGGGCTGCAGGGTTCCCAAGCGGAATATGAGTTGCTGTTCCTGCAACCTTCGGGTGGCATCGTTGTGGCACTGCAGGAGGCCCAGGATGGACATGTCGTCTGAGGAATGGGAGGGGGAGTTGAAATGGTTCGCGACTGGGAGGTGCAGTTGTTTGTTGCGAACCGAGCGTAGGTGTTCTGCAAAGCGGTCCCCAAGTCTCCGCTTGGTTTCCCCGATGTAGAGGAAGCCACACCGGGTACAGCGGATGCAGTATACCACATTGGCAGATGTGCAGGCGAACATCTGCTTGATGTGGAAAGTCTTCTTGGGGCCTGGGATGGGGGTGAGGGAGGAGGTATGGGGGCAGGTGTAGCACTTCCTGCGGTTGCAGGGAAAAGTGCCGGGTGTGGTGGAGCTGGAGGGGAGTGTGGAGCGGACAAGGGAGTCACGGAGAGAGTTGTCCCTCCGGAAAGCAGATAAGGGTGGGGAGGGAAAGATGTCTTTGGTGGTGGGGTCGGATTGCAGATGGCGGAAGTGTCATTGGACTTGAAACGTTAGCTGTTTTCTTTTCATGGATGCTGTCAGACCTGTTGAGTTTCAAAATCTCCCCTCCCCCTACCGCATCCCAAAACCAGTCCAGCTCGTCCCTGCCTCCCTAACCTGTTCTTCCTCCCACCTATCCCCTCCTCCCACTTCAAGCCGCACCTCCATCTCCTACCGACCAACCTCATCCCGCCCCCTTGACCTGTCCGTCCTCCCTGGACTGACCTATCCCCTTCCTAACTCCCTACCTACACTCACCTTTACTGGCTCCATCCCCGCCTCTTCGACCTGTTTGTTTCCTCTCCACCTATCCTCTCCTCTATCCCTCTTCTATCCGCCTCCCACTCTCTCCCTATTTATTTCAAAACCCCCTTCCCCTCCCCCTTTTCTGATGAAGGGTCTAGGCCCGAAACGTCAGCCTCTCTGCCCCTATGATGCTGCTTGGTTTACTGATGTGCAGAAGTTGGTAAGATCTCGGTGACAATCTACTTAAGGGAACAGAATTACCAGGATCTTTGAGATTTAAGGAACTTGCATTGTCCCAAGGTAGACCTTACTGGAAGGTGGCAGAGATTAGCTGGATGCAGCTGAGACTGAGGCTGAGTGAACTGACTTTCGAAAGCAACTGTAAGTTGTAGTCTAGCATGGTAGGAAGAAATGAGGCTGCTGCAATACTTTATCCGCTAGAAGTGTGATGCACAGTGGAAGAAATTGAAAGAGTATCTTGATTGCCTTAATTAATGCTAAAGTATATATTTTTTTCGTTCAATGGATTAAATTGTTTGGTAACATTTGATCTATGATGTTTGAGTTGTTACAGTAAGTGCTAAAACATGAAATCTTGACCCTCAGTTCATTTCTTTCAATCACTAGGAAATTCAATTTGCAAATTTAAAAATCTAGGGCCACAACATCATGCGCAAGTTTTACAGAAAATACAGTACACATAATAGAGGTAATTGTACATCACATGTATATTTACTCTAGTACCATTCAATAACATAGGAAGTAAAGCACGATCAAAAAAATCACTTGGACAATGCTTTTTGTACCACCATTTTACTGACAAACAGACAAAAAGGTTAAGTTCACAGGTATACGCCGTGCGAATGTGTTTTCAGATCACACACCCAATGACTGTCTATTACTAATTTTTGTATTTATTCACCAGAGATGTAATTAGCCGATATGGATTCCCAATTAGCCACATATGGCTTTTGTGTAAGGTACTGGACAACACTGGTCTCATTTTATTTTCTTTTCTGATTCCATTTTGTAGTGTTTCTTTTCACAATACGATTCTTCAACTAAATTACTTAAATACAAGCAATTGCATGTTTTGGCACTGAATCTTGGATGCTCTGTCATCATTTATGCAGAACGTTAAAATCCACAAGACAGCCTCAGGAGAGACAAAATGGATAATTGAGCCATTTGCAATAGTATGAAAAATACTTCAATACAGAAATGTTGGTTCCTTTTTAAGATAATTTGACATTTTAGAAAGATGTAGTGCATTTAAAAAATATTCAGTATTTTTATAAACATTTTACTCACATTAAAATATATTTTGGTTGGGATGTTTTGAAAATGTTTTTGACCTTCCACTTCTGCCAACCAGCAACCCTGAAAACTTGTACAACAAAAGGAATCAGTGTATCAGGGAGGGTTGTTTGAGAGTTTGTAATATATTTTAGGGTTGCTAACAGTCTGGGCTTTATCTGGAGCCTCTTCCAGGGCACTACTCTGAGCAAACCCTGGAGAAAAGCATTGGTGTTGAAGATAAATAGTCCTCCTAACAATAATCTTTGAGTAGTTGTTTATTAGGTATCAATGTACTGGAGACTGACAGTCAAGAATAATTTTATTCAGTAAGGAAGAATAAACCAATCTTAAAGCAGTGCATGAGTAAAGAGTGAAGGGGAAAGTGGAGTTGAGGATTATCAGGTCAGCCCTGATCCCACTAAATGGTAGAGTAGATTTGATGGGTGACCTACTTCTCGTTAATGGTGTTAAGGAAGAACTTTTTTTCCTTCTGAAGGGAGGTTTTTTTTTATTCATTGACAGGATAAGAGTGTCACTGGCTAAGTCAGCATTCATTGCCCATCCTTAATTGCCTAGAGGAGCTAGAGTCACATGTAGGCCAGACCAGGTAAGGATGGCAGTCTCCTTCCCTAAAGGACATTAGTGAACCAGATTGTACTTTGTCCAACAATTGTCAATGGATTCATGGTCACCTTTAGATCTTGAATTCCAGATTTTCCTTGATGAATTCATATTACACCATCTGCCATGGCAGGATTTGAACCTTGGTCCCCAGAACATTACATGGGTCTCTGGATTAACAGGCCAGTGATAAAACCACTGGACAATTGAGGAAGGGGCATGTGGTTACTCCAGTTAAAAGAATTTGTTTTCAGTACAGATTCCAGCATCTGCAGTAATTTGCTCCTAAATCTTCTGTTTGTGTGTGTGTGTGTTTTGGAAAAGAGGTTGCAAAGCAAAATTCAACTAGTTAAAAACACTTCTTTCCCCCCCCTATCAAAAATATATCACTCACTGGCACGAACTATTTACAATTACAAAAAAGGCAGAAAGGTCCTGTCCTCAGCGAGGCTGACGGACGTGTTTCTCAGCTCCTCGGGCGAGTTGACTATTCTGTAACCGAGCTGGGCCAGGGTCAGGTTACACAAGTTTTGCACCAGCTCCACCATGTCGTAGCTCAGTTTGAACCTCCAGCCCTCGGCCGTGGCCGCCGAGTCCCGCACCGTGGCGAACTTGTGGTTGCCCGACGCTCCGGGCCCGCGGGTGTTGCGGACGATCCAGCGCCGCACGTTGGTATCCATGGCGACGCCCAGAAAGCGGTACATCTCGCGCGTCTTCCGCTCGGGCTCGCGGGCCAGGTCCTCGTAACGGACCAACATATAACGGCCTTTGAGCCAGTCGGGCCGAGCTAGGCCGGTCCCCACCGACTGCAGGAAATCCTGGCAGGTGGCGTTCAGATGCGATGCGTCCAGGTTGAAAGGCCTGCGCCCGCTGTTGCGCCAGATTTTCCAGGCGCGGAAACTGTCCGGGAAGGTGTCGATGCGGGACGACAGGATGCCGCGGGGGTCGCGCACCAACTGGATCACCTTGAGGTTGAGGCGAGGGTCTTCGACCAGCGCCTTGAGGTCGCCGATGGCGGGGATCCGCACCGTCTTGATGGCGACGTGAGGCCTCAGAATGCAGGCCCGGGAAGCCTCGGTCAGGTTTAGGGCACCGCACCGCCGCACGCACTCGCCTTCCTCCCAGCGCTCGGATGGAGCGCCTTCCCCGTCGTTGCTGTCGCCCTCTCTGTCCGAGGTCTGCATTCCCGGCCCGGCCGGAGGCCTCGGAGTCGAGGTGGCCGGGGCACAGACAGGCGGCGAGCACAGCGCTTTGCTGGCCCCTCGGCGGAAGAGCCGCTGGGTCCGATGTTGCTCCGGAGCCGGTTTGATGTAAGCCTCCAACTCGTGGAGCCGGCACTCGAAGAGTCCCCGCAGCAGGTCGCGGTAGGCGCCGAGAAGCAAGCGCCTGCCCGCGGCCGAGGTCGAGGACGACGGCCTGCCCCTGGAGCCGGCTCCCAGCGTGGTCTGCACATGGTAGAGCGGCTCAAACAGGTAGAAGATGTCCGAGTGCTGGTTCAGCAGCTGCCCGATGAAAGACGAGCCGCTCCGGGTGGTGGCCAGGATCAGGATGTGGCTGACTGCCCGGCGCTGGGGCTCACAGGACGCACCCGGACCTGGGCGGCAGCCCGTATGCTTGGGGACGCGGCAGATGGTGAACGGCTTAGCGATGAACTTTCGGATGGCCGTGTACTGTATGGTCAGCGAGGCTACGACCAGCAGCAGCACCGCTTTCCAGGAACACTCCATGGCCCTAAACCTGTGGCTGGTCATTCAGTGCCCTGTGCTGTACCCTGTAAGAATACAAAACCCAAAAGGACATCAGTACTGGCACCATCATTCATTCAATTCAATATCACCCTCTCTTTACACACACTGAAATCTTATTTCTCCCCTTTTTTTGGTTGAATGTGGGAACCGCAGTACGGCATTCATCTATAAAGCCTATCCTGCCATTTCATCAGGTCATGAATGATCTATCCATATACTTTCACTGAACAGTTGATTTAAAATGTTAATATGCTTCTCTGGAACAGATGGGACTTGAACCCAAGCCCTCTAACCCAGAGGGTAGGGATATTGCTGCTGGATGCCTCTAAATTGGAACACTAGCTATTTCCTCTTGTTCCTATTGCAGCTTGTTCAGAAAAGTTACTGTACATCTCTGGAGAAGATGGGGACTTCAGTTCAGGTGCCTTGGCCCAGAGTTAGGTATTTCCAATATGCCACAAGATCCCTGGTGACTCATCTTCTCTCCAATTGCTTCAAATCCCTGTATACTTGCTGCTGTTAAAAATAATCTTGGTCTTTAAATACAATTAGATAACTTGTGCTGTAACATTCAGCTACTGAAAACTGAGCCAGCTGCGCATGAATTAACTAGGTTCCTATGAAGGATTCAACACTTGACAGCTGAACTCGTATGTCTTCTCTTCAGCTGATGATTGGCCTGCTGCATGCTTCAAACATATTCTTTTTCAGAATTCCAGCATCCAAAGCTATTTAAAGTTTATTTTTGGAAATAGAAAAACAAAATGTGGGCAAAATTTTACTGATTTACAGTATCCCAGTTTTGCAGTCAGTCTGCTTTAAAGTTGTAATATTTGGTCAAATTTTGTGGAAATGTAACATTAAGTTCACAACTACGCTATTATTAATGCACTACTTGGCAACAGGTTCATAGAGTCATACAGCATGGAAAGAGATCCTCCCATCCAACTTGTCCATGCCGATCAAGTTTCCCAAATTAAATTAGTCCCACTTGCCTGCGTTTGGCCTATCCAGATGTCTTTTAAATGTTGACTACCACTCCCTCTGGCAGTTCATTCCATACATGAATCACCCTCTGTGAGAAAGTTGTCCCTCTGGTCCCTTTTAAATCTTTCTCTTCTCACCTTCAAAATATACCCCCTAGTTTTGAACTCACCCATCCGAGAGAAAAGACCCCTGCCGTTCACCTTCTATAGGCCCCTCATGATTTAATAAACATCTATGAAGTCACCCTTCAGCGTTCTATGCTCCAGTGAAAAAAGTCTCAGCCTCTTCTTGTAACTCAAACCCTCCAGTCCCAGCAACATCCTGGTAAATTTTTTCTGAACCCTCTCCAATTTAATAATATCCTCCCTCTAGTAGGGCAACCAGAACACAGTACTCAAAGTGGCCTTAACAATGTCCTGTAGAACCTCAAAAACACATCCCAACTCTTATATTCAGTGGTCTGAGTAATGAAGGCAAGTGAGCTAAAAGCCTTCTTAACCACCCTGTCTATCTGTGATGCAACTTTCAAAGAACCTCGTGCCTGAACCCCTAGGTCTTGCTATTTAACAACAGTACCCAGGGCCTCACCAGTAACTATATAAGTTCTGCCCTTGTTTGTTTTTCCAAAATGCAATACCTCGCACTTTTCCAAATTAAACTCCATCTACCATTTCTCAGCCCATTAGCCAATTGATCAAGATCCCTTTGTAATCATAGATCATAGAATCCGTACAGTGTGCAAACAGGCCCTTCGGCCCAACAAATCCACACCGACACTTGGAGCATCCGACCCAGACCCATCCTGCTATAACCCACCTAAGCTACACGTCCTGAACATACGGCCAATTTGGCATGGCCAATCCATCTAACCCGCACATCTTTAGACTGTGGGAGGAAACCCACGCAGACACGGGGAGAATGTGCATACTCCACACAGACAGTCGCCCGAGGGTTGAACCTGGGTCCCTGGCGCTGTGAGGCAGCAATGCTAACCTTCTTCACTGTTGACAATACCACCAATGTTGGTGTTGTCCGCAAACTTACTAACCATGCCTCCTAAATTCTCATCTAAATCATCTATATAAATTACAAACAAAAGTGGACCCAGGACCGATTCCTGTGGAACACCGCTGGTCACAGGACTCCAGTCTGAAAAGCAACCTTCCAGCACCACCCTCTGTCTCCTACCATCAAACCAGTTTTGTATCCATTGGCAAGCTCTCCATGAATCCTGTGTGATTTAACTTCACTAATTAGTCTACCATGTAGAACTTTGTCAAAGGCTTTACTAAAATCCATGTCTACTGCTCTGTCCTCAATCTTTTTGGTTATGTCCTTGAAAAACTCAATCAAATTTGTGAGAAACTATTTCCCATTAAGAAAGCCATGCTGACTGTCCCTAATCCGCCCTTGCCTCTCCAAATGCATGTAAATCTTGTCTCAGAATCCCTTCCAACAACTTACCCACCACTGATGTCAAATGCTATGGCCTATATTCCCAGTCTTGTCCTCACAGCCTTTCTTAAATAAAGGCACAACATTAGTCACCCTCCAGTCCTGCAGCACCTCATCTGTGCCTGTAGATGATGCAAATATGTCTGCTGGGGGCCCCGTAATTTCTTCCCTAACCTCCCACCATCTCCTAGAATAGACTTGATCGGGTACTGGAGATTTATCCACCTTCATGTTTTTTTAAGATCTCCAGCACTTCCTCTTCTGTAATGTGGACTGTTTACAAGGCACCAATATTTATTTCCCCTGAGTTCCCTAGCCTCCATTTTTTTGGTTCCAATTAATACGCTGCATGGTATATCAGGTGCCATCTAGGGACTAAGAGATATTCATAAACTGCAAGTTTCAGGAACTTTCCATTCAATTATGCATCAATGCTCACATGCATTGTGAATTCATTTTTTCAGGCATGTTTGACACAATTTTTGTTTTGGGTATTGTTGTACAGGTTAAAAAAAAAAATCAATCTGTGACATGTATTTCCCCTTTTCCAATATCAGTTTGAATCTGGAACTGTCAATAGAATCATGAAACATGTGCTGGCAGTGATGCCAGAAACCATGGCAACAGCCAATTACTTTGAAATATCGTCATAGTCAGCAAATCGGGAAATACAAACTGAAACTCTTCACTTCTAATATGGAAATTTACAGGTAGCAAAATAATGACTAATGCAGATGAATAAGGAAGAAGGTAAAAATCACTCACTTCCAAAAGTGTATCGTTTTAGTGTGTGACATTTCTCATTCTAATGGAGAAATGTAATGTTGAACTAATTAAAGGCCAGTGAGGGAGCTTAGCATTAATTATGAACTTAATATAAAGTTGAAAATTTAGATACACTTCTGTCAACAATGTGAAACATTTTCAAGGTTCACTATAATGAGAATAGAATATAAAAGTAGAAATTCCTGCTGATTTAGTGATTTCTAATTAATTCCCAGAGTACACCCACAGTGCTGTTAGGGAAGGGGTTCAAGGATTTGAATCCAGTGACATTGAACAAAGGAACAACAAGGTAGTTCCAAGGTGGAATAGTGAGTGACTTAGAAGGAGACTTAAAGACTGTGTTCCCAAAAACCTTTGCCCTCATCCTTCAAGGTGTTGGTTTTCATTAGATTTCTAACATTTGCTATTTTTGTACTCATTGACTGTGTAAAATATACATTTAAATTTGTCCTTTGGCATTCAAACACTGTGGATTTCGCAGGTAGCAATTTTCAGAAGCCACAATACCACAATTATTAGATGAGGAGTGGTGGGTGGATCTGCATGTGCAGCACAAACTCTGACACAGAGCTGTTACATGATGTGCTTCATTGTAGATATAAGAACACAAGAAATATGAGCAGGAACAGACTCTGCCATTCAGAATTACCTTGACTGATCCTGGGCTTCAACTCCACTGTCCTGCCTGCTCCACATATCCCTTGATTATCTGAGAGACCAAAAATCTCTCCACAGTCCTGTTCTAGTTGCATAGTTATAGGAAGGACATTATTAACTGGCGAGGGTTCAGAAGAGATTTACCAGAATGTTGCCAGGTATGGAAGGTTTGAGTTACAAGAAAAAAGGCTGAATGGGCTGGGACTTTTTCACTGCATCATTGGAGGTTGAAAGATGGCCTTAAAGAGGTTTATAAAATCATGAGGGGTCTAGATAGGGCTAATGGTAGATGTCTTTTCCTTAAGATGGGGGATCTCAAGACTAGGGGACACATTTTTAAGGTGAGAGGAGAGAGATTTAAAAAAGACATGGGCACATTTTTTACATAAGAGGGTGGTTCGTGTTTGGAATGAACTTCCTGAGGAACTGGTGGATGTGGGCACAATTACAACATTGAAAAGACACTTGGGATAAGTACATGAATAGGGAAGGTTTGTAGGGATATGGACCAGGAGCAGGCAGGCAGGATTACTTTAGATTGGGATTATGTTCGGCATGGACTGGGTGGACCGAAGGGTCTGTTTCTGTGCTCTATGATTCTATGACTGTCTGGAGTGGAGAAATCAGAATATTCACAATTCCCGAGTGAAAATTATTCTCATCTCAGTCCTAAATTAATGAATGTCCCTGTGCTTTAGATTCTTCAGCCAAGAGAAATAAGCTAACAAGGTCCAGTGTCAACTCTGCAAAGCTCCTTCAGAATGTTGTATTTTCAATTAGATCACTTCTGATTCTTCTAAACTCTGGAGAAATTTGCTGAATCACAGAAAGAGGCCATTTGGCACATCATGCCTGTGCCAGTTCTATAACCTAGTGCTAATCACCTGGTTAAATTGGTTCCTTTTAAAACATAAGTTAATGTGGGTCCGGGAGTAAGGTATAAACAAGGAAAGGGATTTTTAGAAGAAATGATCTTGTCATGACCAATTTAAGGGGAGGTCAATAAATAAGACAGTTTATTCCTCCTTACCCAGGACCTTAACAGTTTGGGGAATCCTGTAATCAATTGGAGAACCTTGTCCAGGCTTTGGTTATAACAAATCAGGGCCTCTTTCTGTGATTTCAACACAGAAAAAAGAATTTTGATTGGGTTAATCATCACTTTGAACTAATTTCTTGAGTTGTAATGTTTAGTACAGAAATGTGTGCATTTGTTATCATAGTAAATTTTGGGGAGGCTTCTTTTGAGGATTTAAATCATCAGTCCCCAAAACAATCAAAAGATTTAGCTTAGATAAGAATGTCTTCCACAAGAAAGAAGACCCAACATTTTGTAAGGGTGGCTAAAGGTTTACAGGTAGGAGACATGGCACGGTGGCTCAGTGGTTAGCACTACTGCCTCACAGTGCCAGGGACCTGGGTTCGATTCCACCTTCGGGCGACTGTCTGTGTGGACTTTGCATGTTCTCCCCTTGTCTGTGTGGGTTTCCTCCGGGTGCTCCAGTTTCCTCCCACCGTCCAAAGATGTGCAGGCTAGGTGAACTGGCCATGCTAAATTGCCCATAGTGTTCAGGGATGTGTAGATTAGGTGGGATATAGGGGAATGGGTCTGGGTGGGATGCTGTGAGGGTTGGTGTGGACTTGTTGGGCCGAAGGGCCTGTTTCCACACTATAGAGATTCTATGATACTAACAGCATTCCAAAAATACTAAATGATGAAGGGGCTAATGATAGGGCGGGGGAGGAAATAAACAAAACTATCACCAGAGACAACACACTGAAGAAACTAATGGAGCTAAATGCTCATATGTCTGCTGACCTGACAGGTTGCATTTTAAGAAGTAGCTACTGAGATAACGGAATCACTGGTGATAATCTTCCAAGAATTATCAGATTCTGGAAAAGGTCTAGAGGCTTGGAAAATTGCCAATGTACCAACCTTTATTAAGAAAGGGAGGGAGTCAAAATGAAAGATAACTATCCTGTGAAGACCATTTCTCTAAATTCCAGTGAATAGAGTCCTAACCTGTTTAACCTTTGCTTATAAGACAACCCCTTCATACCAGGGATCATCCTATTTGCTGTGACCCCTGTGCTGCAGGTAAAGGATGATACTTTCTAACTTGAAGTATTCTTAACAGGCAAAAGAATACAGGACAACAAAAGGACTATTACCCTGAATGCTGGAATTCAATCATGGTCAAAAGGAATCAGAATTACAGAATCTCAACCAATCTAAGGATTGTGAAATCAACTGTTCAGTTACTAGTGTCAACACTTGGTAACCTCCATTGCAACAGGCACAACATTCAACTTTCTGCTCTTCTCAAAACAATTCAGAGACTGACCTGCTTTTTAATATTTATCTTTTTTGACTCACCTCTTACCTCTAATCTGTGTATATATGTTTTGCATTACTAATTCTTGCATTTGTTAACTCAAGAAATTCTAGTTAAATTGGCTCCTTTTAAAACAAGTGTAAGTGTGTCTGGGACAGAGGTTTAAATAAGGAAGGATTCTTTCAAAATTAATCCTGTTGCAACCAACTGAAAGTGGATGAAAAAATGAAGGAGATCCAGTTCATCCCTCCCTACTAGGAGCTTAACAGTTTGTGGCAGCCTGTCCAGAACCATACTGATTTAAGGAACCTCATTCAGTGTCTGGTCATAACAGTCTTAAGTCATTAAAATAAATACTAAAAAGCTGAGCCCCAGCACAGTTCTTTGCAACAGTCCATCAGTCTCAGCTGCCTGTACTTACTGACTGTTAACGATCTTCTATCTATGCTCGAACAGGACTTAAAATTTTTGAATCAGCTTGTTCAGAGATGTCATTCCCGCCAGAGCAGATGGGACTTGAACCTGTGTCTCCTGTGTCAGAGGTAATAACACTACCACTTCACCACAAAAGCCCCCATGCTAATATATTATCCACAACTTAACCAGCCCTTAACTTCCCTGTTAGCTGTTTGTATCACTCTTTATTGACTGCCTTTTAGGAATCCAGATACATTATATCTAGCAGTTCTCCTTGATCTATATGACCAATTTCATCCTCAAATGACTCAAACAAACTTTTTAAGTACAATTTCCATTTAATAATCTATATTGCCTTTGATCAAATTATCATTTTCTAAGTGCATTGTTAAGACTTATTTAACAACAGATATGAGCACTTTCTTGATGACATATCAATTGATAACTGGCCTCTGGTTCTCTGATTTATCTATCTTTCTTGAATAGCAGTGTTGGATTTGCTGACTCTCAATCTGCTGGGACTGTTTCAGTTCTAAGGAACTATGGAAAATCATAACCAGAACGTCCATTATTTCTCAAATGTCTCTTTTGGAACCATGGGATGTAAGCCATTGATTCCTGGGTATCATTGGATTTTAGTCCTTCAAGTTTTCCAGTAAATTTTTGCTCTGCTGCTATCAATTTTCTTCACTCCTTTATTCTTTTTAGCCCTTAGGTTACCCTTTATTCTTGTATGAAACTTGTATATTCTACTGTGAAGACAGATAAAGTATTAGTTCCTGCTTCTTATAGCAGGGCCCTGGAAAGTATTGCAGAGCAGAGAGACTGGGAAGTATTGTAGAACAGAGAGAGCTAGAATTTCAGATACATAATTCTTTGAAATTTGTGTCACAGGTACGTGGGGTGGTTAATAAAGCATTTAGTACACTTGCCTTCATTGCTCAGAGCATTGAGTCTAGGAGTTGGGACATCAAGTTGAGATTGTACAAGATGTTGGTGAGGTCTCTTTTGGCGTACTGTGTGCAATTCCAGTTGCCCTGCTATAAGAAGGATATTATTAAATTGTAGACTGTTCAGAAAGGATTTACCAGGATGTTGCCAGGAATCAAGTGTTTGAGTTATGAAAATAGGCTGGGACATTTTTCACTGGAGCATCGGAAGTTGAGGGATGTCCTTAGAGGTTTATAAAATAACGAGGGGCATATACAGTGAATAGCAGAGGTCTTTTCCCTCAGTTGGGGGAGTTCAAAGCTAGGAGGCATATTTTTAAGGTGAGAAAAAGTTTTAGAAAGGACACGAGGGGTAACTTTTTGACACAGCGTGGTTCCTGTGTGGAATGAACTGCCGCAAGAAGTGGTAGATGCAGGTACATTTACAACATTTAAAAGACATTTGGATAAGTACATGAATAGGAAAGGTTTAGATGGATAGGGGCCAAACACAGGCAAGAGGAATGAGTTCAGTTTGGGAATTGCCATGGACTACTTGGACTGAAGGTTCTGTTTCCATGCTGCAAACTCTATGATTCTATGACTATGAATAATGTGTACTTTCACTACACTCATCATACAATTGAAAAAGCTCAATCTGATTATATATTCCTGATTTATTTCCTTTCGTATTTTTTCACCTTTTCATCATCTTTTTTGTTGGTCCTTTGTGTTAAAAAAAAATCACGCTTAAACTTCAGACATGTTACTATCCTTCACACCATTGTTAGCCTCTTTTCTTAATCTTATACTACCCTCAAATATTCCAGACCAAGCCAGGGATAAGTCATGCTGTTGAGCTTTTACTTTTCAGTGTTTTTGTTGAATGTTTTGAATTGTTTCTTTAACTTGTTGTCACTATTTATTTCCCATCATATCTTTGAATTTATTTATCCCATCAACCTCAGCCAGTTCTTCCCTCATATCTATGATATTGGCTTTAAGTTTAAGATTCTTGCTGTTATTGCAGTATATTGCTTTAAAACATAACACGGAATTCAATTTTATTTCCAGTGGATTTTTTACTATGATATTACTAATTGACCCTGATGTTAGTACATAAGACTGTTTGAAATAACTTTATCAACAGTTGGTTCCACAATGTGGAATATATTGCTCCAGGAAACTGTCATACTAACATTCTAC